CTTCAACAAGAGATTCACAGATCGTTATAAACATTCATACTTACAAATACAAGTGACATGAATTCTAAGTGATATATTTTATATTATCCTAAAAAAGGTACATAAATTAGGGAAAGGTTCAGAAAATAGATAGTTGAAAAAATGTACAAAAATAGATATAAAAAAAAAAACTAATTGTTGCCAAATAGATTAAAAAATGTTTTTTATAAAACAATAGGAACTTAAAGTCGTCATGTATAAAGGAACATCTCTCATAAACCCCAAATTTTCTTCTTCTTCTCTCTCTGGTAAGTTTCCGACATCACAGAGACTCTCATGACACTATTCTTTTGACTTCACACCCTCTCTCCTTAAACGGTTTCAACACTTCCAAAAAACTACACATTTTGCCACTCCTCCGGCCAAAAAACAAAAAATGATCACATGGCACGACCTCTACACGGTTCTCACGGCAGTGATACCACTCTACGTAGCTATGATCCTCGCTTACGGCTCTGTACGGTGGTGGAAAATCTTCTCACCTGACCAATGCTCCGGTATAAACCGTTTTGTCGCCATTTTCGCCGTCCCTCTCCTCTCTTTCCACTTCATCTCCACCAACAATCCTTACTCCATGAACCTCCGTTTCATCGCCGCCGATACACTCCAAAAACTAATCATGCTCTCTCTTTTAACAATCTGGGCTAACTTCACTCGCTCCGGTAACCTCGAATGGAGCATAACAATCTTTTCTCTTTCAACACTTCCAAACACACTCGTTATGGGAATCCCTCTCTTGATCGCCATGTACGGCGAATACTCCGGCTCGCTTATGGTCCAGATCGTTGTTCTTCAGTGTATAATCTGGTACACTCTTCTTCTCTTTCTCTTCGAGTATCGTGGAGCTAAGATTCTGATCATGGAACAGTTCCCTGAGACTGGTGCTTCGATTGTCTCTTTCAAAGTCGAATCCGACGTCGTTTCGTTAGACGGTCATGATTTTCTCGAGACCGATGCTGAGATCGGACAAGATGGGAAGCTTCATGTTACTGTAAGGAAATCAAACGCTTCAAGAAGATCTTTGTGTGGTGGTGGTACGAATATGATGATGACGACTCCTCGTCCGTCGAATCTTAGTGGAGCTGAGATTTACAGTCTTAACACAACTCCGAGAGGTTCTAATTTTAATCATTCAGATTTCTACTCGATGATGGGTTTTCCCGGTGGTCGTCTCTCGAATTTTGGTCCGGCGGATATGTATTCCGTTCAGTCTTCGAGAGGACCAACTCCGAGACCTTCGAATTTCGACGAGAATTGTGGTGCTTCTTCGCCTAGATTCGGGTATTACCCGGGTCAAACCGGGTCGTACCTGGCTCCCAACCCGGAATTTTCATCAAAAACCGGTGGCAAGAACCATACCGGTGGGAGGTCGAACAGTCATGATGCTAAGGAGCTTCATATGTTCGTGTGGGGATCAAACGGGTCACCCGTTTCGGATCGGGCGGGTCTTCAAGTATTCGGTGGAGGAGCTGATATTAATGGAACCAATGAACAAGCTGGAAAATCCGACCAAGGAGCAAAAGAGATTCGAATGTTGGTCTCTGATCCGACGAACAGTGAATTTGGAGGCGAAGAAGAGTCGGAGAGAGTGAAGGAAGGAACAAACGGGTTACACAAGCTACGGTGTAACTCCACGGCGGAGCTAAACCCTAAAGAAGCCATCGAGACCGGACCGGGAAAACATATGCCGCCGGCGAGTGTGATGACGAGGTTGATACTGATCATGGTGTGGAGAAAACTGATTAGGAATCCAAACACTTACTCTAGTCTCATTGGTCTTATTTGGGCTCTCGTTGCTTTCAGGT